GCTAATACCACCTATTTGATTAAGCACCTTCTGGAATTTCATCGAAGACGTGGTAAAATGACTCAACAAAGTTTTGTTTATTGTAGTTCGAGAAATAAATGAGGCGTCCTTTGTCACAGACGAAAAGATGGTTCTCACCTCTCCATATATACAAACTTCAATCAGGCAAACTTCCAAAGTGATTTAAAATAAAACATGCCAAGTACCTGAATATCGCCTAAGTACCTTGAAACTCAACCAAACTTACATTGTTTGTTTTGGGATTTAGACCAGATTTTCCCCTTGGCAAATGCGGGAGAGGTGGATCAAAGAATTTCAGAGTGCAATCGAGCATAGAAGGTGAAAAAACAGCTTCAAAACTTGCACGATTCGTAAAGTATTATAAAATGGAGGGGCAGCTAAGTGGGTGGGATTACGAGGAAAGTTGTACAGTAATGAAATTATTTTAGCCTAAGACTAAATTTTTAAGCTGTCGTAACACACGATCTACTGAGGAGTTGTGTTCTTAATGCACTTCCCAGTTGCAACTACGGGGAAAAACTGATCGTAAAAATACGAACACAACAACAGCGCCCATGTTTTTTGGTGCCAGGTTTTGCCATTAAATTAAATCAAACGTACTGCTTTGACCGATCTGAACCTAAACGACAGATCAAGATGCACTTAATGGTAGAGTAGATTGTTTCTGTTAACCGCAATATTTTTAGATGAGGCTACTGCCAAGCAGCAAATAGAACAATCGTAAAAACAGTAAAAGAATGTAATTAAATCCTACCGACTACTTTAATTTTGAAAATCGGATTATTTATGACGCATAATAATCATATACGAGAATTTAAGGTTCAAGAAACCAGAGCGATAGGTTGTAAATGTGCGATTTACTGGTACAAAAAGAGTCAAAGATGAGCTTATTTTCAAACAGAAAACAAAATCTTCTTTTCCATTTAATTAAAACAGATAGATACCTCCATAAAATGGGCTGAACTCACGGGTCGTCGCTGAAGAGGCCCTGACCTTGCGTAGTAAATGATCGTCCAGGTGGGAACCAGGTGGTGTCAGAGTCAGACGAATGACACTCTGTACTCAAGGGATAGGGTTGTTGGGGTGGGTAGAAGGAACCTAAAGGACCTTGAAGCGTGCAAGAGCTGTCCAGCGGCCACTCGTCTGTCGACTGGTCGTCTGTGAAGAAGCGATTGCCATTGAAGTAGTTCAGATTGTCGTATAAATGTTCTGCTGGACAGCCGTGTCTGTCCCAACTGCAATGGGATAACAATGCCCTACCGGTAAAGTGAAATAGACGTTTAGGCCTTACTAAAAGAACAACGAATTCAATTAGACTTAAGCTTTGAGTCTAACTGCCACTATTCGCTATTTTCCTCAGCGAAATCCGACTCAATGAAGCCTTGAGAGACATAAAAACCTACAAAAGGAGATGAAATCACAAAATGACAAAGTTTATTTCCACCTAAATCCTCCTTGAGACAGAGTTACGGTAAGAAGCATAAAACCACATCCTGTCGGTATTTTAGTATTGTTTTCCAGCGAGCATTATTTTGGTCCTTCAACGAATTTGCGCAATTTGTTATTGCAGTTTGTTCCTGTAAAAAAAACGTTCAGGAGCATTTTCTTACTTAAGTGAACCAAAACATTCGACAATTGGGTTCGTCTACAGTGTAACTATTAAAACTTCACAACTATATACATGTAAGTACGGAAATTGTAGCAATTTTCACCGATTATAAATCCAGAATAACTCCGTGACTAACACGGCTTTTATCCCCATTCAGGCATAAAACCGGAAGAAAAAGCTGTACTTGAGAACCCAAATGCATATAAAAGCTCTCAGAACATTTCAGCATCAAAGAATATTTGCTCGAAGAATAAACCATCTGTTTGGTAGATTTAATTCGTGCATACATACCCACGATGATGTTATAGCAGTGAAGTGGGGCAATTTACTCTTTTATGAATATAACCGTTTCGCAACTGAAAAATACCATTTTCTTCACTCAGTTCCCATCGAAATTCTTCTTTTCAAACCCCATATTTGCTCACCTGGACCACTTTCGAGAAGTGTCCAATGTTCTTGTGGCAGGCGGCATGCCCGTGTCAGACCTAAAACAAGAGAAAGGAAGACGATGCTGAATAATTCATCCACGAGGATCTATTTCCAAAGTCTAATTTGGTGAGCATATTTTCCACTGAAATGGAAAAGCTTTAACCACTCAACATGACCCAACTCAGAGTTTCCGGTTGGTGTGGCAGAAGGAGAGTGGTTTGGGCAAGGTAAACAGTAAAAGTGCCAAACTACTACTACAAACCTCTTCATCTATTATAAGGGTAAAGATTTGAGCAAATTTTAAGGTAATAGGGCTGCAAATTTTGTTTAATAAGATGGTACAAAGGTAGTGGTCAACGTTTCGAATAAAAGAAAATGCGAGAATTTCAGGCTCAATTTGTGAGTAATATGACTTGCGAAGACGACAAACACCGATGCCATAACTTTCACAACGAACGTTAAAAGTGTAAAGCACATTCGATTTGCAAAAAGCCAAGCTCTGAAACATTTTGTGGGAACAATTAAGCCACTACATTTCATCGAATTTGTGAACGGAATAACTGGTTTTCGTGTCTTTTTTTACTCCCGAATAAACAATATTAATAGCAATTTATCCGCCCACATCGCTATTTCAAGAAACTAATTCAGGTATTCGAGCTGAACATCATCCAACTTCTTTTTTAGGTCTGGGGGAAAAAGGAAACTGCACGCTAT